CGCCCAGCCCCTGCCATACTGCCATACACCTTGCCCCTCACGCCCCCCGGGGCGGCCAACGCACGCGCACACCCAGTGACACCCATCCCATCATCACCACCGCCTTGCACGCGAAAAAGTAAGACGAATGCCTCTACGAGTGTACTACGTGTGTACGAAAGTGTACGTGTACAGCTCTCTGTGCGTGAACGATTGAAAACAAAAATGACACACTGGGAACCCAAGTATGTGGATATGTCGCACGCTTAGGTGCGTACATCCCAATTTTTTCACTTGTAATTAACACATAAGTAACAAGTAAATGCGCGAATTTCTCTTGGAATTTTTTTCGGGCCCCTGTAAAACTCCAAGTTTACAAAGGGATGGAAATTCAGTCTCCTACAAGTGTGTGACAGTATTTACTCGTTTGGGTTTCTTGGGTGTGGGGGTATCCCCACGCGACCCACGTGCCACCTAAGGTCGCCCCGGGTCGTCGCCGCACGCGCGTCACGGCACACTTTCTTCTCGATGACTCTCATGGAGCACGGATGCGCCCGAAGGTCGCCGTCGGTCCGGCGCGGCAAGGCGCGGCCTGGCCCCGGCGTCCCCGAGCCCCCCAGGAAGCTGATGAGCCTGATGTATGCTTGACTAACAAGAGGGAACTTTCGTCTTCTTTGTAATACGACCTCTCGGTGTTCTGTCCTTGTGTGCTCTCTACGTTCTTTTGTTTTTGTTGTGTATTTTTTCGCCTTTTTATTCTATGGGACTGTAGAGAAGTAAGTGGGAATACTGCCCGTAAGCCGAGCTATTAAAAAAGGGATTGCTATAACGCTCATGTGTACGCCTCGTCTCTATGTGTATGCGAGGGCTTATCTAAAACTCAACCCCCTTCGCTGCTGTGGGTCCAGCACCTGTATCACTGAGTGCGCTTTTGATATTGCAGCACACGCCGAGAGATTGCGCCAGCTCGAGCAGTCAGCGAGAGGAACCATAATAATATCGATCGCTCAAGCGTGCCGGCGTGTGAGCGTGTGTGCGGGCGCGCGCCAGGCCCGCTCGCTGGACTGCGCAACGCCGCGAGCTGCCGTCCACTTTGACTGGTGCGTCGGTCTCGGTCACTGGCACGGCTGGTATTTGCGCGAGCCTTTTACTGCTGACTGTACACAGCTGCATTGTGTGCTCTGCACCGGCGCACAAAAACAGAGGAGGTGGGAAAATAACATCTGAAAAACGTTGGATATATTCATTTTGTTTTCTGCAGAATACCGTAACGAAAATGTGTTTCAACAAGAAAATGTTTTGTAATTTTTGTCAAAACGTTTTCAGAAAAACTCTGTATTTGTGCGAAAAACAAAGAATATGTCAATAATTTCCAGCTTTCTGGGTGCTGGTTTGTCCGCCCACCACAGCGACATAAAATTCGCGCGTATCCGGCTTAGGGCACAGAGGAAAAAGCATTAAAACAACAATTGCCAGTCTGGCCGCTCGCTGGCTGGCTCGGGGGCCCCTCCTCCCTCCTGACTGGGGCTCCAAAGCGGCTCCAAGCACCCCAGTATGCGGGACGCGTCCGTGCGGCGCGCACCGCATGTCTGGCTGAGGTACCCGGTACCCGAGCCGGTACCTGGGTGTGACTCACCGGGACAACGACCCGCCACAACCGCAACCGGGGGACCGGGGGGCCCCGCCGCGGGTACTTCCCTCGCCGACAGCGCGCCGGCTGCTGCTCTGACGCATGTGTGCCCGTTATTATGTAAAATGAAATTGGGACGACATACTGGGTCGGCATCTGAGGAACGGCGTCTTTAAAAAGAGAAAACAAATAATATTACTAATAATTACCAATGATAATCATAGGACTGAAAAGGACTCTGCGGCTTCTGTTTCGTGTTTGGCCCCCGTCCTTGCGGCCCAGTCCAAGACCTGGACCAGAACCTGGACCAGAGCCTGGACCAGGACCTGGACTGGACGTATACGGTCGCTAAACGGGTGCCGTTGAGGGGGATACCTTTGGATGCTGGACCTGGACCGATCCCGATCCACTCGCGGAGGGGGAATGAGGGGGTGGG